CACACACAGGCACACCCCACCCCCACCCCCCTACAGGGCCTGAACGAGAAGCAGCGGCGCGCGGCGTACGCCGCCGACGTCACGTACGTAACCAACAGCGAGCTGGGGTTTGACTACCTGCGCGACAACCTGGCGCAGGTGGGGGCGCCAGCTGGGCAGGGGGCGGGCGGTATGCCAGCTGGGCAGCGGGCGGGGCGGCTGCCAGCTCAGCGGGCGGGCGGGGCGGGGCAGCTGGAGTATCACCCATCCAGCCTGGCCGCCGGCTTGTGGGCACGCCGCATCCCCTGCTGCTGCTGCGACTGCCTCACTCCAGCCCCCTCAACAAACCAAAAGAACACAGCCGCCTCCTCGTCAAATGAAAGCAGCCCCCTCAACAAAACGAGAGGAAACAGCCACCTCATCGCCTGCCTCCTTTTTCCTCCGCCGCAGGACAAGGAGGAGCTGGTGCTGCGACCCTTCAACTTCTGCGTGATTGATGAGGTGGGTGCGGCTGTGTGTGCCGCTGTGTGTGCCTGTGTGTGCCTATGTGGCGCGCGGCATCCGCATTGGTGGCTGTCGGCGGCGGCTGGGGCGCGCCGGCAGGGCGGCCCACGGGATGTGCGAGGCTGCTGGGGGCAGGCCGGCCGGGAGCACCCGTGCTGTGGCCCACAAGCACACAAGCCTGCCCTCTTGCCACGCTCGCACACACACACACAGCTCCACGCCCGCACCGGCACCCGCACACGCACTCCCTTTAAACACGCACACTCACGCCGCCCCACACCCGCACCCGCAGGTGGATTCCATCCTCATCGACGAGGCCCGCACCCCGCTCATCATCTCCGGCACCGCCGACAAGCCGTCGGAGAAGTATTACAAGGTGTGTGGCTGTGTGTGTGGCTGTGTGTGGGGGTTTAGAGAGAGAGAGAGAGAAGAGGGTGTGTGTGTGTATGGGTGTGTGTGCGTGAGTGTTAAGAGTGTGTGCGCACGCGGGGTGAGGCAGCACGCCATTCGGCCTCTCATTGTTTTCAAGGGCCGTCGCGAGATCGGCCGGACTGCTGACCCGTTGCCCTGCCCCAGCCACCACCCCCTTCTTCCCACTCCACCCCTGCCTCCCCCCGACCTCCACCCGCCCTCCACCCGCCCTCCACCGCCCGCAGGCCGCCAAGATCGCCTCGGCGCTGGCCCGCGACGTGCACTACACGGTGGACGAGAAGCAGCGCAACGTGTTGCTGACCGAGGAGGGGTACGAGGCGGCGGAGGACGTGCTGCAGGTGGGCGCGTGTGTGTGTGGGCGCTGTGCTGCGCCATGCTGTGCTGCGCTGCGCCACGCTGCGCTGCGCTGCCCATGGGCTGTGCTTTGATGTGCTGTGCTGCGCTGCGCTTTGAGTGTGCACCGCCAGCGGCCCGCTTCCCCCGCCCCCGTTGCCGCCCGCCGTCGTGAAATCTCGCTGCCTGGCGGCACCGCCGCATGGTACCACATCATGGCACCGCAGGTATCCGACCTGTACGACCCGCGCGAGCAGTGGGCCTCCTACCTGCTCAACGCCGTCAAGGCCAAGGAGCTCTTCATCAAAGACGTCTCCTACATCGTGCGGGCCGACGAGGTGAGGAAGGTGGGCGGGGTGTGTGGCGGGGCGAGCAGGTGAGGCGGGTGCCGGGTGTGTGCCGGGGCCGGTTGGTGGCAGCGGGCCGAGGAGGCGAGGTGCTCAGCGGGGTCGGCGGCTGGCGGGCCGAGGGGGTGTGCGGTGTGTGTGGGGGCGGCGGGCTGGGGAGGCCAGGCGGGCGCAAGGTGTGCGGGGCACACAGCATGCATACACACACACACCACACACACACACACACACGCCTCGCCTTCCCCCGCCCTCGCTTCTCTGCAAATTCCACCGAATGCTACTCATCTCCCGCTCCCCACTCGCCCACAACCCC